CTGCCCAGGATTGTTGATTAATCACAGATTTTGTCTGAATGAAGCATAAGCGCAAGAAGAACTCTTTTTTTCCCCCTCCAATCTCAGAGTCAGAATCAGTCCAGAGTCCAATTTAATTAAACTCTACAGAGACAAGATTATTAAGAAATTAATTTGAAACCACTATACGCATCATTTGTGGTGATTTTTTTTATTTTTATTTTTTATCATAAATCAAGCATTTGTGGACGGAATGTGATCAGGATCAAAAACTAATGCTGTTAACACTGACACACTTCAATCCATCCATGGTCTCAATATTGATGGTGATCAGTTTCTAGACATGTTCTTGAGTGTATCAGGCGTATGTGTGCATGTACTGTGTATATGATGCATTGTGGGGACTATTTTCCTGACATATATTAATATTGTGGGGATCCACTGCTCCTTATCCCCACAAGGGGAAATGCTGTTTTTGGGTCAGGGGTTAGTTTTTGGACTACAGTGTGAATTGAGTTTAGGTTAGGGTTAGGTATGTAATGGTTAGAATTTTGTTGTAGAAGTCAATGGAAAGTCCCCACAAAGACAGCATGACAAACATCCGTGTGTGTATGTGTGTGACATGCGAATGTTCAGACCTGGATCGTGAGTAGGAGCGGGATCGGCTGCGAGAGTGAGATGAACCAGAACGTGACCTGGAGGACTTTGAGGAGTGAGAGCTTGAGCGAGAAGATGATCTCCTCCTGCTGCGAGAGCGACTCCTTGAGCGACTTCCTCCATGACCGCTAAAAGGGAAAAAAAAAAAAAAAAAATTAAATAACAAAATTTTAAAAAAAAATCACCAAGACAGCAGTTTGACAGCAGGAGCAAAAATACCATTTAAGACAAACAAGATGGTTAAGATTTGTAATCCTTATTTAATTTTAGAAAAAAACAATTCCATTGTTGCATTAGTTCAACTTTAGTTTAAGGTTTCATTGTGTAAGAGCTGAATAGGTAGAACAGAGATTCTAATCCAGAAGAGACCCACCTGTTTCTTTTCTCCTGTTCCTTTTTTCTTCTAGCTCTCATCTTGGCTCTGAAGAACTCATACAGGCCATTCTGCTCCCAACCTTCACTGGAAGAAAAACATAAGGTTTACTGAAAGGTTTACTTCAAGGAAAGTCATGCTTATTTTTAGAACACCATTCATACATAAAGGGTAATTGAGAATGCTTTACTTCACTGCATTTACTTAAAACAACCTGAATACTTTTAAGACCCTTTCAGCTGATCAGAAGGAAGCTGAAAGGGGCTGAAAAGGTTCCAGAGGTAAGAGAAAAAGTCAACTTTGCTGGGTCCAAGAAGTCAGTAAAGTTGGGAGAAGCTCCATTTCACTGTAATGTCCACTTGTGTCTCTGAGTTGGCCGATAGATTCATCTTTTAAAAGAGGCAGATGGATGCATCAGGAGGGAAAACTGAGAACTCTGGGACCAAGATGATAAGTTGGTCATCTGTTGTACCAGGGGATGGGTGTAGGGGGTGACAGCATTGAGTGCAGTATTGTGAATGGAAACCAACAGAAGTCTGCTTGTAACTCAATAAGGACAGATGTTAAGAAGTACCAACTTTTATTTTTCTGCTGAAGGACTGTGAGTAAGGTACGTTGCATTACTTCCTGTTTTTGCTGTTGCACATGGTGGATCTTTTTTGGTCTTTTAAAATGATCTAAAGTTTCTGACATTTCTGAGTTATTCTAACAGATAAGTACAGTAAAGCACCTACTTTGTCTACTTTATGTTTGGAGACCCTTCATGGTTTACTTGAAGTCCTCTTAAAATCAAAGCTAAGACATGCATACCTGTTTCGAGGTCGATCATGTGAAGGAGGGCTGTAGAAAGCCTCCACAGCAGCTAGTAGCCGATCACTGGGCGGCATAGGAGGGGGTAACCTAATGTCCTTAGGGTCCAACGGTTTATAGTCACAGTCTTCCAGCTGTGTAAAGACAGCACAAGGATTGTGAGTTATACAGCCTTCAATGGAGAAAAACTGATGGCAGAACAGACTGCACTCTCCACAACAGATCTACAGAAAATCTTACTACTGGTGTCCCAGTACATATCGCAGTATTGGCCCGATACCAGCGTCAAGGACTCGTACTCGTACTTATAAAAACAAGCCAATACTCCAAATCAATAGCACTGTTCTGCTGGATTTCCTCCTGTGCTGCGGTTCAACTCAAGGGCTAAACCACTGTTTATGCCTGGTGGTGGTAACACACCACTAAATTATTAATTGATTCTCCAAAAAAAAGAAAACATTTCACTCCTGCTAGATAGTCAGCAGTTAAAAATCAACAACACTTTAATAAAATGCAAAAGATATCTTTTGAAGATCAGACAGAAAAAATCCATACAAACTGATTTATTCACATCTGGTATATACCGTATTCTGATTTCCTGCAGTTACCATATATAGATTTAAGCCACACTTTTAGCTGCAAAACAAACTGCTTCTGGAATATTATCGCACCACTTGCTTGCATAGCTAATGTTACTTTCAACGGTTTTGGTTTTATGAATCATATTTTCTAACAAGGAGTTGTTATTTCCAAGATTCTGCAGTTTCAGGTGCAAAACCTGGAGCTGCAGAGTCTCTGGTTTGGTTAGTCTGACCAGGGCAGGAATGTATGCAGAACATTCACACAAGCAGCAGAACTGTGCCATGTTATTATTATAGCAGATCATACTAATGTAAGCTTCAATACCTGCTGATTAGCATATTGTAATAAAAGAAAAAAATATAATCCCACACTGAAAAGTTGTGTCATCAAATTGAACACATTTACATTTTTTTTCTCTGATGAAGTTTTTGAAATCAAATTCAAATTAAAAAATACTTTATTGACCCAAAAGGGAAACTAAATGCTGTGGTAAATCATGTTAAATCAAATCTCTGATACACCGACAACTGCAGAGTCATCTGAGAATTTCTGGAGATGACAGAAGTCTGAAGCGGACAGAGTGAAAGAGCATAGTGCACTGTGGTGCTCCTGTGCTACTGACCACCTGGTTAGACACACTAACTTCAGTCTCACTAACTGGTCTGGTTAGTCAGGTAGATATAGATCCAGGTAATTGTTGAGGCCTGAAGTTTCTGACAAAGCAGCTCAATACTGTTTTGTCAGAAATTGTTAAACTGCAATGTTAAATACACTGGAGAAATCAAAGAACATGATCCTCACAGTGCTGCCTACTTTGTCCAGATGATAGTGGCTATTTGAAGCAGGTGTATTGATGGCATCTTCTACTCCAACACCATGGCGATAAGCAAACTGCAGGTGGTAATATTTCAGAAGTGATATTATTATAGCAGATCATAACATCATGATGGGGGCGGTTCAGAAGACGGCAAGGGGTGCTGGCAGAAATTTTTACAAAAGGGGGGCGCTGGGATTCCTTTGGGGGGCGTTTGCTCAAAGATAAACATTACACCTTAAATACACAACAATACCAGTTTAGACTTTGAGCAACTTGCTGAAACTGTATTGTGTAACATTAAAACATGCTTGGCTGCAATTGTATTGATGGCATGACAGCTCTTCTTCTCTTCAGTGTTTCTGTTGGCTTCTTGGCACAGCTCCGCGCTCCTGCTACTGGTAGCTTCACCACATCAGGTCAGCATTACACCGTCTGATGACATTGCTGTGATTCACTTGTCTGGTGTCTGATTTTAAAATATTTTGTTTTATTGAGGATTTTTGTACATATGTTTTGTCAGTGCTATGATCATGTCAAAGCAGCAACTTATAAAAAGTGTTTTAATGTCCGTCTGAATTCTGCACATTTTCATGAAAGAACAGAATATTGCTCTGATAAACATGTAATGACTAAAATCAGATACCCTCACTGTATATTCCTCTGAAAAATGAACCCATTTGAATAATAATAATAATAATAATAATAATAATAATAATAATAATAATAATAATAATAACAATAATAATAATAATAATAATAAAATCCTTCCATGGGTGGATACCACGATAGACAGCGTTCATTTTATAAAGTTAATATCGACGATGTAAGTGGTTTGGTATGAAACGGTAGTATCACAGCACTTTTGAATTTCAATCATCAGATATATCGGGATTTTTTCAGTTATTTTAAAAAGCTTACGTGAATCTGCTTTTTTCCATCGATACGCTTCCCAACCGCTCTGAAACCGGAGGGGGGTAAAAAAAAAAAAGAAGAAAAAAAAAAGATGCGCACGTTGTGCAAAACTCAGAAACAGGAGAACCGGGACATAGAACGGAGCGACAAACTAGACGTGAATCAGGGCATAAAAACAGACGCTCAACAGTGAAAAATCAATATGAGTGTCAAATAAGGTGAAACACATGATGATTAAGTGGCGCAGCAGGTGATGAGTGAAGATTACAGGTCGTGAGCGTCAGTAAAAACTAAATTAAACTAGCAACAGGAAAGAAACTAAAGAGAACAACAATAAACCAAGAGAGGACAATACTAATCAAAGAAAACTGAATGAAAATGCATGAAGAACAAAATGTAAGAATAAACTAAGAAACTAAATTAAATACAGAGGAATAAACTGGTATGGCAAGACTTTTCGAGCAATAATTAATACAGAGGACTGGCAAGAACAGACTTTGTTTTCAGACAAAAGGTAAA